TCAATTCATTTTTTTTGTGCCCTCAAATTCACTGTCAATGAATATGCACAGAATTATAGATGATAATGTTCTAAAACGATAAATGTAAAGATAACACCCCCTTTAGATGTTTGAAGCGTGATTACAATTGCAAAGTAAAAAGCTAATGTGTGGAGATAAACAAACTACACCTCAGTCGCGTGACAACAGCACCACTCAGCTAAAGGTGAACTAGTGTTTCGCAGAACAAAACTTTAAAAACGTGTTTCCCCGCATTTTTCCTCTCAGGTCGCCTCGGTGAGAACTTGTCAGTGCGGCGTGCGGTGACAGTGGGCGTCCCAGCTGAGTGGCACATTGGCTCGTATGTACACGGTGGTGTGCACGGCCAGACGGAGGTGGCCATGGGCCGGTACGCCGCCCTGGTTGTATTTCAGGGTGGCGAGAAGGAACAATGGGACGTTCTAGGACGTAAACTGGGACAGCATATAGTGGGAGAGGCCCCTGTGTCCCTGGGCAACATGGATGACCTTCCTTGTGGGGAAAGTGAGACACGCCTGCTGCCTCAGACCTTTTTGGGAGACCCCAGCAGGACGGTTGCAGAGTTCCTCAGAGGTCAACAGGCCCGAGTGCTGGACTTTATCCGATTCCAGTGTGGCGAGTCAGTCGATGACCAAGTCAAATGAAGGGAGGAATAATTTAAGTAATTTACGCAAGATAATTTGTCACGCGTCTTTTTTTTATGTTGGTAAAATGCAACAACACCCTTTATTCTCCAACATTCAGACACACAGTGTCATCGTAAATTTAAAAGCAGAATATGTAGGTCTACCAGCACTGCTGCCAATCAAATAATAAAATGTTTTTATCTTGAAAGCCTTAATTTGTCCATATGCATTTGTTTATGCTACTCTGTATGTTGAATTGTAAGAGCTACGTCATCAGTTTATCTGATTGTCATAATGTAAATCTTTCACATTTTCTTTGTTCCTTTTGATCCTTGCATCCTTTACATTAGGTTGAATGGAAGAAAATGTCTAGATGTGGCATTTCTAACCTTTTTTCAAACCTAGTATACATTCTCACAGAAGAAACACACAACAGAGCAAGAAATGCAATCAACAAAGCATACCTTCTACTACCCTCTATAGAGTTTTAAAAAGCATTTCATGTCGAAGAACTAGATGTAGCTTAAAGTAGCGGGACAAGAAGCCTACGAGGTATCATTACTGATAAGGTACAACCTTTTTCCCTAGGATGATTTTGTCAACCTGGCAAACCCCTGCTTAATGAACTCCCTCACAACTGAGTTTTCCTCTCTCAGACAGGTAGGTGTGTGTGTGTGTGTGTGTGTGTGTGTGTGTGTGTGTGTGTGTGTGTGTGTGTGTGTGTGTGTGTGTGTGTGTGTGTGTGTGTGTGTGTGTGTGTGTGTGTGTTTCAAGTGCTTATTTTCAAGTGCATAAGAAATTATATAAATACATATATTGTGTGGTGTGTTGCTGACATCAAGGCCTATGATTGGCTGACGGTTGGTGACGTCACCAGACGCTCTGCCTGCGGAGGAGCTAGCCGGTGTCCCCGTTAGCTTGGAGAAGATACGAGACCCTCGCCCGTCTTTCATCCGACCACCTCAAACCGACATGGTGAGCAAAGCTATTCCTCCAGCCTAATTAACTATTGTTAAACGACACGTACTCATCGGCGACGTAGTGCTTTATTCATTGATATTTTTCCCAAAGCTACGGACGTTAACTTGCCGTTAACCGGGTGCTCGTTGCGCTCGCTGCGTATCTCTCCCGGCCTGCTTCCCTCATTGTCGCTTCAACGTTAAGCCTTTCAGCCACAATCCTTCCTCTAACTGCACGCCAGCGGCAATGGAGGACCTACTTGAAGCATTTGCATTCTATTACACTAACACCGGCCTGTTATTCCTCCCTGTGTCATTTCTAACCCGCCTCAACCAGTCTGACTTCACAGAGGACCAGATCACGGGTGAGTGAACGCTAACATCTGATCAGCGGACAGGATTCATCCTTACATCAAGCATCCTCCTTTTAACATTTTAAATAACAATTAAACTGCACATGGCGGGTAACTGAAGGACTGAGCTAAAAATAAACTAATCACTCTCCATCTGTGTGAGGTTCAATTCTCGTCACGACATTCACCTGCCAAGCGGTGCCACAGGAAGCTGCACCAACCTCAACACATGTCATCTAGGAAAGCATCCTTTTGTTTCTGCTCATTTATGGTCTAGCTGCTGTAATGTAATGTTTGGTACAGGTGAAGTGTATGTGTAGTGACAAAATGACTTAATTCCGTGCATTGGATGTCAACACACATAGTTGTAGCTGTAGGATTTAACACTGCTATGCGTTTGTGTTTCTTTGTGTCGCCACCGTTGGATTAATATGTATTTGTACGCTGAATGAGTTCTGTCCCTCTGTCTCCCATGTCAGAGTTCAAGGAGGCTTTCCTTTTGTTTGACCGGACGGGTGAGGGGAAGATCACCTACAGCCAGTGTGGCGACGTGATGCGGGCGCTGGGACAGAACCCCGTCAATTCTGAGGTGCTCAAGGTCCTGGGAAACCCCAAGTTGGAAGGCAAGCCTCTGATTTGACCAGCCGCGACTTTAGTAGAGAAATTCAACCAACGTGATCGTTGCCTTGGTTACCAGACAGGTTGTGCGTACAGGTCCAGCATTACATCATAATCATTATGTGCTGAAAGGCATTTTTTGAGTTGTTTGGATTACAGTCATGACATGTGGTACAAAGCGTCTCTCATAGTACTGATGACCCATAACAGTCACAAGGTCACTCCACAAGTTTGTGTTCCTGCTGTAAATGAACTCTGTAATCCCCCTGATATGTGCATCTCACGATTAATGATTATGAATAAAAGTGTGCAGAATAATTCCTTTCAAATCAATGGAGAGAGCGAAGGAGTTGGGAAAACTGATGTGATGTTTACGACTACTACATGTGCTCTCAGTAAAAAGCTCTGCTCCTGTGAAAACTGCATTTTATTTTGCCTATATTGGGTTAAAGAGAGGCTCTCAAGCTTACTAATATCCATACAAATCTAGAATTTAAAAAAATGTGTTACTGATTGCGTTTCAGAGATGAACTACAAGATGTTGGATTTTGAACAGTTCCTGCCGATGCTTCAGGCCGTTGCAAAGAACAAAGACCAGGGTTCTTTTGACGATATCGTAGAAGGTCTGCGGGTCTTCGACAAGGAGGGGAACGGCACAGTGATGGGAGCAGAGCTGCGCCATGTCCTCACTACACTTGGCAAGTGAACAAAAACATGCAAAACACATCAATTATTATTATTATGCTTATCTAGTTTAGCGGCGAAAATGCTTTTCTTTACATGGTCCTAAAATGGCAATTCATTCTTTGTTTTGTTCGTTCCAGGTGAAAAAATGACAGAGGAGGAGGTAGAAACTCTTTTAGCGGGACACGAAGACGCCAATGGCTGCATTAACTATGAAGGTAAAGCAGCACAGTATGTGGAAAGAAACACTCTATTGGTACTTTCCAATACCCGTACTACCTGACACTTGAGTGTGCCAGAAAAAGTATTTCCCGATACGTTGTGTTTCAAATTCAAAAGATGTCATGATGTCACAATCTATTGCAATCGCAAAAAAAGAGCTAGTGTCCCCTCTGACAAATGTTGAATGTTATTTCCTGCTTTTGTCTGACTGTTTTTTAGAAGTGACGCTGATGTGTGTGTCTTTGTTTCTCTGTGACAGAACTCGTCCGGATGGTGATGAGCGGTTGAGGATTTCAGGAACGCACTTCCAGCATTCATTTTATCCTTGAATATTTTTATATTGTTTGTCTTGTCTTGCCCTTCTGCCCACATCGTCCTACCTCCAACAAGTCCATTTTCTTTTCTGTTTCTTGACATCTTCAATTTATTTCAAAAGTGCCTATTCAGTCTAGTGTGAAGAATCTCTGTCATCTCATTCTCCAAACAGTATTCAGCCCCGTAGGTACTCTGAAGCAAGGTTCCTTTATGATTCCCTCTTTATTAACCCGTCACTCTTGTTGTCAACAGCATATGTCGTTTTTTGATGTTTTGTTTGGATGGATATGATAATTTGACATGTTTCATGTAACAGTATTGAATAAAAACTCAAGTTTCCAAAGTGTCTTTCAGCTTCTGGGTCTTTATACACATCTGTAATCACATTAAGCAACATTGTACGTAGTTTATTTCCCTTTCTCATATTAAATCTCTCTAATGAAACATCTTTTGGGGTGATTCCAATTTTTTAAATCTCATTTTAGATGTTCCAATAATACTTTTTTTACTGGGACCTTTTATTCCTCATGTCAAACTCACAAGGATAAAGTGATGATATGTTGATACATTCCTGAATGTAAACTGGAGGAAGAGGTTGGCAGAGGCACAGAAATGTGATGCAGAGATTGTAGGTATAAATATAGTACTCAGACTTTTTATGATACTTATAGTAAACTATGACTGCTAGATGAAGTTTTTATGACGGTGACGTATTTTCTATGGTATACTATACCAAAACGTTTTATTTTTATGAAATGACGACTATAACTCAACTATTACTTTTGTTTCATGGCACACTTAAATCATTTCTTACACACCATACTACAACTTACTAAGACATTATTCTGTGTATAATGACTCACAACTATATTATGACTTACTATCTTTTGAATTTTTATGACTTTAATTTCATTCATTAAGGCATAATAATCACTTACTTTTAAAAAATACCATAATATAATAATACTATTTCTTATGACATTATACCATGACTTTATATTACATTTTGTGACATTTCTATGTCATAATGTATTATAAGTTTCTCATGACATCTTTATGGCTAAAAAATTGAAATGTAACTGAATTCTAAGTTCATACCATTGTATGAAATTGAATGACGTTTCAAAGTGACATCTTCATTAAAAAATCAAACAAACAGTGCCGACTTTAAAACGTTAAATTAAAAACCTCTCCCCACAACGACGTCCTCTTCACATCTTTATTTTTTTCCAACATTTTGTAATTAAAACCTGAACCTTTTTGTTATGCATCTCTGTTGAATACAAACTGTCAGAGTAACTGTCAGTCAGAATGTGATGACTTATTGAGGAAAAATTGATTCTACTGTATAATAATCAATGCAATTGCTGCTACCTTCAGCATAGTGAAAAACATACAGAAACTCAACACACACTTATTTCATATCACAAAATCCACAGAATGTAGTAATAACACAGATAAAATAAGTCCTTTTACGCTCACAACTACGATGAGGTCTGCAATACTGGCTTGACGGACATTAACTGTAAAGTTTCACCTTCTGACTGGATTATACTTCATGACAATGGCGTGACGTGTCGTGTGCAAAAGGAAGACGTTTCAATCCTTCGAACCCTGTGGCACACGACGAATGGCACTGGAAATAAAACTGAACGGTAATGTTGTTTACAGATCTTAATGGCATGCGGTCACATACACAAATGCTCACAGTCACATCTCAAGACCAACAAACCCGCCTAATTCATACACAAGTGAAGAGGGTAGATATAAGCTACAAATGTAATAATATACAGGTACAACGCCGACATATCATAGAAAGGAGATGGAAAAACAGAAAGTAAAAAATATAGAAATTGATAGGATAAAAAGTGAGGATATTGTTGCAGATATTAAGGACATAATTCTCCATTGTCAGCTGTTTAAGGTGCGAGCTCCCTTGTTTTCCGACAGGCTTCACATTTCCTCCGAGTGTGACTTGAAATGCACCAGAGAAAAACAAGCTGCTAAAAAAAACTTCTCAATTTCCCAAACAACCACAATTCAACTCACTGAATAAATGGAGATAAACATGATTATAAAACATTTTGGTTGAGCAATTAACACAAAGTCAAATTATTAATAAAATACTCGGTCACTGCGGTCACTTGCGTCATTCCCAAACTTTCAATCACTCCTTTTGAACAAAAAAACTACATTCCTCACAAACTCCTGGATGCTTCAGTTCATCCACATTTGAAAAACACGAAGCTAATCGCTGACATGTTATTCCTTAAGTGCTGTTGAACGGGAGGACGATATATATCAAGAGAAGTCCCCACAGGATGATGGGTTCATGCTGTCAGAACTTTCAAATAGTATCATTACCAGGCGACACAAGATGTGTTTGTAACAAAAAAATCCTGTTTACAGTACATCGTCTCAAACTGCATCCAAACCAACTTTGTTTACAATTGGCTTCTGATTTTTTATTTTTTTTTGTTCATAACAGACATTTCTCTAGTTTTAAACATCTGGGCCAGACCCTGTGGTGACTGTTTGTCCGTGTAAAACAAATTAGATCTGAGCGGAAAAGTAACATTTCCAATCAAGTTTTCAAATCTTTCAGTATGAAAAAGTATTTAAGACAACAAAAGGATGATATAAGTGCTGAAGTTAAATTTCATTGATGCTTCAAGTCTTGTAATTAGACCTCGGGAAACATGTTAAAAGTGCATTTCTGTCTTACATATATTTTACTTAGTACCTACAGTACACGGGGGACGGGGGGCTCTGGAGACATTGTGAAGCACAAACTTCACAAGCTGTTGCAGAAAATACATGCAACAATTGCCAAAACACTGAAAACGCAGGATGAGTTTCGTCTTCTTTCCTTGATTGGCAACATGTTGGTAAGAGCCTCTTAGTTCACCGGTTGGTGAGATGTTGCTGTCCAATCAAATGCACAGGATGAACAGCTTCATTTTCTTCATAGGCAGATACAATTTAAAAAAGGACATATTTTTCAACAGAAACTTAAAGTAGAGCTGGTTTAATCAATACTGTATCATTTTTTCTTCCTTGCATCAATTGTCTTGTTGAAAAAAAAAAGAAAAAGGATCTGAACATGTAAAATGTGTTGTTCTTCGGGTTTATGACTTCTTCATTTGAGATGGTACCGAGTGGTCAGAGTCATTCGGATTCTCAAGCTATGTATGATTCTCTCACTGTGGAGGAGGGACTGGAGCTGAAGGGTGTAGCGTTTCCCCAGGAAGGGGGGGGGTCGGTTCTGTAAGGTGTAAAACGGGTACAGAGCAGATGTAAAGCCTTTTTAAAGAAAAAATCTATTATGTTTTTAGTTAATTTCTTCAAATGTATGCTAATGGCTATACAGATCTGAGGGTTAAAAAATATGGATGTGAGACTAAACAAATAACATAATGATGCATAATAGGTATTAAAGAACTTAAACTTACCATGGAGTACAGGAGTAGTGCTGGAGCTGGAGCTTGAATGGGGAGCCGGGGTCGCGCCTGGAGGGCAGGGGGGCGAGTTGTGAGCCCCCTGAGGGGGTTGGGACTCAGGGGCCGAGGCGGAGGATGAGGATGGAGGTGCGGGACTGGGGGCCGGCTGCGGTGCCGGTGTGTTGGGTGCCTGCTGACTGGCGGTGAGGGGTGCTGGGGCTGGTGCTGGGGCGGCCTGGTTGGCGTGGGGGCCTCCGGCCTGGCTGTGCTGCTGGTGCTGAATCTGCTGGAAGTGCTGCTGGCGGGCCCTCATCTCGGCATATTTCAACTGTTCCATGTGGAAGGACTGACGGTCGGCCAGCAGCTGCTGACGCTGGTACTCCAACTGAAAACACACAAAAAAAGAGGTTAAAATAAAGGTTTGAGGTGTTGTACTGTAATTATGTTTACTTCTCCTTTGAGATACATTTCAGAATCCCTGACTTACGGCCTCCCTCTCTCTGTCCATTATGGTTTCCAGTTCTTCAAAGTGTCGAAGTTTAATCTCCAGTTTCTTCATTTGGGTCTCCACCAGCAGGGCCACAAGAGATTTAATCTTCCTCTCTTCAACTGCAGCCAGATGCTACGAAAAAAGTGAAGGAGAAACTTACATTAAACAACTCTTTGTCTGTCTCTCCATAATTACATCAGCTAATTATTTTATATAATAAGAAATGTTGAAATTGATAAAACGTTCATTCTTGAAAAACACATTTTATAAAAAAATGTAATAGTATTGTATGTGATAAAAACGTTATAATAAAGGCATAGTCTCATAGTCATGAATGCCAAAAAGGTCAAATAAGTGTGTCATAAAAAATCATATTATGTCCTAAAAGAAATAGTATACTATGGGTTAGAATAGTTATAGCTATGACAATTGTCATGACAAAAGTCATTTAATTAGATTTATTTAGAAAATCTATTTATAGTGTGCAATCATAAATATTTTGTAAAAATATAATACGAAGTAGTTTATAGGATAGCATTACATACAGCAAAGAATTGTTTTTAAAAGTACAGCACAAATGAAGTATGTAAAAATGCATCTATCATACAAACTACAGTATGTCATTAAGGTAATAAACTTTACCTTGGCTTTGACAGCTGCAGCAGCGAGTGCAGACGCAGCAGCAGTGGCAAGGTTCCCCTCTCCAATATCATGCTCCACCTTAGCTTTCCTCTCTCCTTCACTCTCTGCTTCTCTTTGTCCTTCCTCTGTGCCCTCTTTTCCATCCTTCACCTTCTTCCCATTACCTTTGAGAAAGGAAAAAAAGGTCATTTTTTTCTATTTCAAGAACACTCCACTTCCTCTTAATGAGTGAGATGCATCTCATACCAATCTCTGCCTCTGTTTTGTCCGTCTCCCTCTCTGCTTCTGCATCTCTTCCTCTTTCTTCTTCCTTCTTCCCATTCTCTGACTGTTTCTCCTCTTCCTCGGTTGCTCCATCTTTGCTCTCCTGAAGGTGAAAAAAACAAATCACAATTAACCTCATAAGCAGAACTAAAAATAACAATGAATTATAATGTTATTTGGAACATGCATCACACCTTGGACTCCCTCTTCTCTTCACTTGGTTGGTTGTCACTCTTACTTTCATCGCTGCTTTCATCTAGAGAGAAGACAAGTCAATTTTTCAGCCCTACAATTCTGCGAGCCCCGAGTGTGTGCGTCCGTCTTACCAGGTCTCTCTCCCTCCTCCAGGCCGGTGCCTGCAATGCCACTACCCTCCAAGCCATACAGCGGATCCTGGCGCCCGCTGACCCTCGCTGCCTCCTCCACCCTCCGCACGTGAGCCTCAACCAGCGCTGCAGGGACCTCCTCCTTCATACGAGAAAACTCCTCTGAGAGGGAGAGACACAGTTAGAGGTCATTGGTTTACTAAAGAGTAATCAATAATAAAAATTCAAAATCAGCACATTCAAAATGAGCTCCTTCTCACCCAGGGCAGATTTGGCTGCAGCAGAGGCAACACGTGGGTCGACGACAGAGGCGAGGAAGGCCACTGTGCTCATGACAGGGTTTCCTGCCTGGCTGAAAGGTACCGGCTGGTAGGACAGCGGCCCCAGGGACGACGAGTTGTCCTCTAAATAAGGGTCTTCAATGGGCAGTCGCAGGAAGTGCAGGATGCACTCATCCTGCGTACGGCTCCCCACGTGCTCTGAAACCTTGTTCCAGTCGTCTTTGTACATCTCCAACCCCTGGACGAAGTGACTACACTTAGCTTCATGTTTCTACCTTGTTTTCACACCACTAATGTTAAGGATCATTTGTACCTCAAGCAGTAGCAGTGTTTCCTGCTCTGTCCACTCCCTCATAGAGCTCGATGTGTTCTTGCTCTGTGAATAAACATCACCACCACGTTGTTAATAAAGGAGATTTTTGAGCATCAAAAATCGTCCTTCCTTCGTGTATTTTCTCGGTTTTGTACCTTTGCAGAACAGGGCTTCTTGCTGTACATGTCAGTCCGCAAACCAAAGTTCTGCAGATCTGCTGGTTTCTCCTTTACTTTATCTGGGAAGGACATCATCTGCTGGGTAGCAGGCGTCTACAGGTGCACAGTGAAAGGACACGTGTAAATGAAAACAGAACGCGTGTGCATGTTTCTATTTATGTTGGTGCGAGGGAGCGTCTGTGGACCTGGGACGTCTTGGGCTGCAGGGGCACCAGACTGGACGGAGTGTCTGCAAGGACGTGGAAGTGAGAAGTGGGTGGGGGACCCATGGGTGTGGGTCGGCTCTCAGAGTCAACCTGGTAATTGATGAGGCCCCACTGCTCCAGGAAGGCGTGCACTCTGCAGCGGAAGAAACACACAGTGTACAACACCGAATGCAGTTCAACCAAATCAAGCAACTCTCCAAATACAGTCAGAACGCTGGAGTACATTCGCATTCGCCCTCCAACTACCTCATGATTGCACACACGTCTCCTGCCAGGTTTCTGCGACAGGCCGTGGATGTCAGATATTCCTGAGGGTTCAGCCGGTATGTGTCAATCATGAAGTTCCTGTACGCCAGGTAACTGAAAGAAGGAGGTGCATAACAACTTACTGTAGTGTCCTTTGTGATTGCTTTTTGAAGCAGTTTTCATGTGAACCATCACATTTTTTTGTGTGTACGGATCAAATACTCACATCTCTGGGGTTTTCGATTTGTTCTTCCCATTGAAAAACTCGGGCAGGGCTCTGCGCTCAATGGCATGAACACTGGGGGGGAACAATTGAGACGTTGTGAGGACACACTCCAGCATTTTGAGTCGCATCTCTAGTCAAAATGACACAAAGCCAAATTCCCCCCATTCTTTTTTTCCCATGTCTGAACTCTATAAATTCCCCAGTGACATATCTTATATCAGATTACATTACATTACATTACAGGTCATTTAGCAGACGCTTTTATCCAAAGCGACTTACATTACACTTTACATTACAACATCAGATTACTGAAAATACATCTCTTACCTGTTGTAGTCAAACCAGGCAGCGTAGCTCGGTATAATAATGTGATGAGTTTGCTCGGTCACATTGTCCTCGTGGAGGTCGGAGCCTTTCACTGGTTCCCCCTTCACGCTCGCAGAGCCTTCCTCCTCCTCCTGTTTGAACACACACTCGCGTTGACGAATGGCTTTCCTGCCCTCACTGCCCCCACATGTTACTGCAGTTTAACAAACCACTTTACCTTGCCTGTTGTTTCCATGGACTCATCCTCTTGCTCTTCTGTTTGAACCACAAAAGAATGGTTTGTATACGACAAGGGCAGTGGGACACAACATTTACTAAGTCCACTACTCTGAGGGAGTAGTGGACTTATTCACAGTTTAAAATGCAAACTTTTCAAACACAGATTTGCAATTAAGTAATACATTAATCTTTTTTTCAATGGATTGCTCTTGCTGTTCCACTATTTTACAGTGTTTGCGTGGAAAACGGATATATTATATATGAATGAGTTAAAGGTGGCCGTGATGAAGATGATAGTAAACTTGCTCCTCACCAATTTCTGTTCCGCCTTTGACTGGAGTTGAATCAGAGTCCTTCTTGGTGCTATCTGCCAAAAACAAAATATAATGTCAGCGAGTAACACACAACAACTATAAGGACTTTAAGGAGACAATAAAGGTTTATTTTAATGGTCCTATTTGGTTCGATGTATGTATAGTCTAAACATTTTAGTACTGGTTTTAGGTGGGTTTCCCTCTTCCGATGCAGGAACAGGTGATGCTTCATCCAGGTCTTTGCTAGGATCCTCCTGTTCCTCTTCCCTTTGGCCCCGTTTTGACTTGGCGTACGGGGTCGTTGGCCTGTCCACACAGCCACACGTATACAAAACACATTATCACAGTGCTGCATCGTGTCTCTGATATAATTGGTTTTAAAAGCTGACGTGTGGGACATCCTTGCATCGAGACAGTCTGGTCACCAACCCTTTTTTGGTATTCTTCTTCTTGCTCTCCTGAGGCGGAGGAGTGGGGGACGGCGACGGCGACCTCTTCCTCTTCTTGGCGCTGCCGGGCTTCTTGTCCCTCCGCTCGTCTGAAGTGGTCACCTCATCTGTCAGCGTCTTGGCTGAGATCCTCTTCCTCTTTGGGCACCCCTCGCCCACCTCATAGTCCTCCTCATTCATCCATTCGTTGTACTGGTCCAGGTCTAAAATCCACTTGGCATGGACCTGTGAACAGAGAACGTTGTATTTAGTGAGCGTGTCAGCCACAGTGACAAAACACAACTTATTCCATCGTTTTTTTTTATGTTAGGTGCATTCTCTACAAAACACCAACAGTCATTTTCAACTTGGCACAATGTTAGTGTAAGAAAATTTCAATGATTATTGTAAAAACAATTCTACAGAGACTTGACTACACCAAAGGAAACTGCAGTTACCGTACTCTCCATCAAGTCACTATTGCAGTGACAGGATAGAGAAACTAACACACAGTGAATATTTTCATTTGAAAACAGCTCAGGCATTGGACAACATTGGAATGCTTCCATATTCTCACTATCATTTCCCATTGAGTGCTCAGTGCCTTGAAGTGTTGATGCTCTGAATACACAATAACAGCTGCTGACGCTGCCTTTTTTCATGATTCAGTCAAGTGTGAGAGTGACCGTGTTTGCTTCAAGTGCCAATTCAATTTAGCAATTGATTCTTTAATGTTTTGCACTGAGGGAGAAAGGAGAAGAAGACTAGGAAGCAATCAACTCTACATACACGCTGCGGCCCCCTGACAGCTTTGTATAATAAAGAAAAGCCTGATGTATTTACTAAATATTTAAAGACATTTTCCTAAATTGTATACATAAAAATGCAGAGGCGTCTAAAATGTTCCAGGTGATGTAAAGGCAAGAACAAGTCAATATAGGAAAAATACATACTGTTCATTCGGTTAAATATGTTTATTAAAACTTGCATGTGAGCAGATATTTGAAAAAAAATTGATAAGTAAAAAGTAAATATATTTTTTTATTTGGGAATGAAATAGGCACAAAGAAAGAGAGACAACAAACAACAAAAAGGTTTCTATCAAATCAATACCTTCCTCGGCTTTTCTGGGCTCGGAGGATCCTCCACAGAAGCCTCAATCTCACTTGCTTGGATCCAGGTATCATAACTAAATGGTGAGAGGAATGAGGTCAAAGGTCAAAGCAGGGGAAAGACTTAAAGAAGCGTTGATAAAACCACACTGGCAGATCCCCTCTACAGTGTTATCCTTCCACAGTGACGGGTAAAATGTTTCTATTTAAATGGTAAATGGTGTACATATCTCTGTAAACTCATCACCAACCTGTCTGGGAAATATCCCCAGTGAAGGAGCACTTGCTTATCTCTCTTCATCACTGGACGCACCCACTCTTCTGCATCCCAAAGAGGAATCCCAAAGGAAACCAACACAGAGCACGTCATTGCATCACAATCCATAATACAAATCAATAAACTGTGTTTAAAAAAACATCTGAAGCCTCACCTTCCTCCAGGCTGGTGGGAATAGAAACAACAACATGAGAGCCGGAGGCCTTTTCCTCAGTTACAGATCCCTGCAACCGATCACGCCACAAGGAAATATTGGTTGAGATTATAAAATAAAAATAGTTGTACTTTTTTAATGAGTTTTTAGTCCGCATGACTGCAGTACTGAGACTTTCAACAAAACAAAATACACACCTGATGTCTTTTTATAATGTCCTTCAGTTTCCCGAGCAGTTTTGGCTCTATGTCGGAGCTCAGGTAGATGACTGGCCTGCTAAGGCAGTTGTTCTGAGAGGAAAAGAAATGCAGCAGATGTTTGAACTATTGAAAATTATATTGCAAATAGTCAGGACATATCTATAAAATATATTTATTTAACTTCATATCATCTCAATTAAAACTCAGTCAGTTATTCAGCTCTCCAGATTAAGGGAGCTGAATGATGTGTGAAGTGTAACTGCAGGACTGATTAAGTAGGATTACTGCTCAAGTCACATGACCGGCTGCCCCTTCATTATTTCTTTTGGGAAAGCTCAGGCAGCTTGATTCTCAGAACCTTCACAATTATGGTGTAATTGTAAGAGGCATGCATCTCTCAAATAGAGCTTTTTCTTTGCAATTTTTGAGCTAGAAGATCTGAAGCAAAAAAACAAAATGTATCAAATGACCCCTGCTGGAGTTCACGCTCGATCTCTTAAAAACAACAATGTGTGTTGTTGTTTATAAAATCAACCACTGCTATTAGCCTCAAAGAAACAGCAGTGATAATATTTTGCAAAAATAATTGTGGTTGTCCAGCTAATGGCTGTTAAAAGCATGCATAGAGAAAAGCTCTGTGGCAAACTTACTTGAACTAAGGACTTCTCAATAGTCATGAACATCTCTACATTTCGGTCCATCCTCGACGGATTCTGGAAGTCAAACCTGCGCCTACCAGGAAATTAGACCGGAGTTACACATGAAACTGCAACACAGCCGAAGTCCAAACTATGTGCCGAGCACGAACGTTGAGCAATTTATTCATTTAAATAGGCTAAAGAGGTCTTACCATCCTTGGTCACTCTTGAACTTGTAGGCAGCTGCCAGGATGTGGCAGAGAGCCCCTCCTGACTTGAAGTCCAGAAAACACTTCATCTGCAGACACAAAAGAGTTTAAAACACCTCTGTGGGAAAAATCCACATGTGAATGTCCCGATTGAGGAGACATACTGGCAGCTTGGTGAGCGGAGGGTTGCTGACATGTCGACCGAACACCTCCTCCTGGAACTGCAGCAGCTGGACCACCAGGCTGGACAGAGACTTGTTGGTGGGGGGCTCGGCCTGGATGTACTGGGAGGACGTAGGGAGGCAATCAGTGCAGAGCAACAGGGATTGGTAACATTTACAGCGGGGGGATAGTTGCTAAAATCAGTTATGTTAAAAACTGGAGGGAGCATTTTTTATGGGGGCATATGTTATGTAATGTGTGAATTAAATGGTAAATATAGTTGTTTCCATCCTTTTTATTTTCATACTCTTAAATAAATAATGCAGTTATTTGATTAAATCAATGTGACCAAGCGGCAGCATACCGCTGGTGTTATGGCAGACAGGCCATGGCTCCAGTCAGCGCCGCGCGCCACACAGCCAACATCTGGATCTGAGCTGCATTACCGTTAGCCGATTAGCTAACTAGCGAGCTAGCTCGCTGGCCGGCCAAAGTCACCCCTTTTGCAAAATATCATACTAGCGGGACTGATTGTGTGCTGCTTTTGCATCGGTTTAGGTACAATAACGTGTAGTGATGACGCGTTTAGCGGCCGCATCTGTTGCAGCTGTTGGCTCAGCATCCTTTTGTATTCCGACTCGAGTGAATCAAACAGCTGGACGCTCAGCAGCACCCTCCCTCCTCTCTTTGTCACTGCCTCTGCCCAATAGGTAAGCACCCAAATGTAAGGGTGAACAATGTATGCTCCTCGTGTATGGATACAAAACATGCGGTCGGTACCTTCTTGTAATTCTTTCCCAGCCAGACGCGGACATTATCAAACTGAGAAACGGTATCAGACGCTTCGAAATATTTTACATTCGGGCCGCCGTCTTTCTTCCGCACCGCCATCTTTGACTGCAGACAACTCGTCAACGTCGCGCGCCTCCCAGCGGCCAAAGTCAGGAACTACAGCTCGTGGTGAGTGTAATGACCATCGATGACCAGCAGGTTGCGCACTAACGCAGGGAACGTTTAAAAAAAATACTTGGTCGCGATATAGGAGATTGTAGAAGCAGCAGCAAGTCCAACAACTTTAAACATCATTAAAAAAAAACACTACGTTTAATTCCTCTAGTCAAGGAGTTCAAGAAAACTGTGACTGTAACAAAAAGTAGATGCGAGCATCAAGACTAAAAGCAGGCTCTGCATTATATCCGTATCATATTACCATACTGTTGGATCATTATTATTGGTGTATGCATGAAAATAGTACATATATCTTGGAGATGTATATCATTTTAACTGCTATTGGGCAGTATAATGAAACAATTTACGGACTCAACGAATAGTTCGATGCACCTCAAAACAGTAATGCACTCTGCAGATGGCAACTTAAGAAGTGTGTGTGAAGACGGGTATGACGAGGAGGAACTTTATACTTCCTCGCTGAGTCATAGTTGTTTAATTGTAACTTTCTCAAAAAAGGCTGTCATTTGAATGACCAAATAAAGCACTTATAAATCTTGAATAAAAAGTAAAAGAAAAAAGAAAACAAACATTCTGCATGAGACATTTTTGTATTTAGAAATTTTGAATTGACTAAAAACATTGTTTTAATTGTATAACTAATAATTATCAATGTGAATGATGTACTGTCCATAGATCTGCTATCAACAAATGCTTTTAATTGTATGACACCTACACCATGAATTTATTCTTTTTAAATATGAAGTTCTCTCAGCTATTCAAGTCCTCTGTCCCTTTTACTTATTTATTATTATATATGGATTTAATTGGTTTTATCCAATTTATTTTACTTTGTTTAATTGATGAGGGTCATGATTTGACTGTTGTTCTATATCGGAGGATTTGGACCCATCCAAGTGGTGGATGTGCTACACAAAATATGCAAATATTTCCCCTATATCGAAGATTTTATTTTGAAGATACTTATATAACAATTGTATACATTAATGTTAAAACAGCTAAAAAATCCCGATATCTGAACAGATAAAGGGAGTGACAGCCACTGACACATGCTTTGTCAGACTTGATATTATATGAATATACACAAACAAATAATTATAATCATATATAATAAATTAAATACGACAAAAACACCATAATGCAAGCAGTTACAAATGCAGATCCCGTATTCAATTTAATACCATAGGACTACTCATTCATAATGAGTTGATAAAAATATTTGTAAAAAAAGGTTGTAAATTCAGCAGACACGAGGGATCAGAAAAAGCGGAGAAAAATATAGACCAACGGACTGCTTTCATGTCTTTGACCTTTTTACTGATTCTCATTTAGTCATATGCTGAAATTAACCTTCATTAACAGAAAATAGGTGTGTGTGCGTGTCCGTGCGTGTGCATGCGTGTGTGTGTGTGGGTGTGTGTGTGTGTGTGTGTGTGAGTCTGTGGCTTATTTGTGAAAGTCCAGAAACAACATTGAAGGGAGTAGTACTTCTTGAACTAGTATTCCTCAGGCAGTCTGTGTGTTTGTATTTGCTGTGTGAGTGTGCGTGTCTGTGTGTGTGTAGCACCCGTCTGCGCACAAGGAGAGAGTGTGAAGCCTATTGATTATTTTAATCCTCCTATTTGTGAGTCTGTGATCCTCTCGGCTCAGCCTTCCACAGAGGCATTGCTAATGGGGCTGAACGCTTCCCTCCTCAGCCCTCTCTCCCTGTCCAATTAACTTAACGCTGGAATCTGCGAGGGGGGAGCAGGGGGACTCACAGGGCTGCGGTGGTGCTATGGTGGGGGGCCGGACACATTGCTGTGACACAGCCCAACCAACACCCCCTATACTCCAACATCTCCCAATCTCTCATTTGCACCAGAAAGAACTCCCAGTTCCAGAATAGCACAACGTCTCACTTTAATTAAAGATCCATCTATTTATTTTATTCTGGTGAGGTGAGAACTCGATTTAGACAGTGTTTCATTTTCACATGGTGGACTTACAGGGTGGCCGTGCACTTAGAAGCCTGCAGCAGGTAAAGAACCGAGTCTTTTTGTCAGTATGCTACTTTAAAGCAAGCTGCTGTCTCTGTAATTCTGTCTGACCTTATAGGTTACAATAAAAATCTGTCCAATTAATGTTTGTGTTCAACTCTTCTTGACACTACAATTTATAAAACTAAACCTTCAATTGTTACCTTGCTAATAAAGGTGGTGCTATATTTTACACCCCACTCTTTGGTAGTGAATAAAACTCCATCACTGACCCAACTAAACTGCAAAGGACACCTTTGGAAAAAATCAGATTCGTGGGAGTTATTGGCAGGAAAATATATCTCCTTCTCTAAATCGAGCTTCAAGGCACATTCTTCCGAAATATGTTGTGGCCCGTAATGTTAAGCTTGTGTCTGAGAACTTACTCACTTTAGTAAAACCACAGTCAACAATTGTCAACACGGTGGAAAAATGAAAAAAGCACCAACGGCGAACTGATCATTTATACTGATATTGATACCTGTTCATTTCACAGAAATCTGTATTCTTATCAGTACCAGAAGTAAAATCTTTGTTAACTGAAACCTATACTATACAACAATATATTTATAAGTTTAGCTGCCCACAAAATATACAAAATTAAGAACATAACATTTGAAAGATGTAACCGAAGTACTTACTTAAAGTGTATCTTATTACTTGCTCAAATTGATATGGATGAATATGAAATAAGCATACATCAGGCAAAACCTTAATAAAAATAACAATCATTAAGAAATAATGTCCACAAAGTCAGATAGTTTACCACATTATTCTTTATCAATGGAGGAAAAAAAGACGTGACAGGTAAGTTTATTCTTGGCTCTTGTTGGAAATACGGAAATATGTTAGTTTTCTCAGCTGTTTTTATATTTGAACCTCAGATAAACCTCACTAATGCTGATTAAGTCTTGAGATCTTTGCAATCAAAAATAAACACCCTGAGCAGTGAGAACAACCTGTCACCTGCTGAGTTCTAGAGGAGAACGAAGAACAACAAAAGCTGTGGTTTTACTCAGCGACTGCAAAATAATCCTATTTGTGTTTTCTGGTCTTCAAGTGCAGAGATAAAACAATTTGCTACATAACAAATATACACAACAGTTTACAAAGTACAGTGACAACAATGAATCCGCACTGCTCGTGAACAAAGGTAAAAGAGCCAGAAAGCTCCCACGGTTGGATGGAGCATGACACAGAGGTTATGTAAAGGAGTAATGCCTGTGTGCAATTACACAACGGTAAGAGGGCTTTTCAATCACAGCACAAGAAAACTTCACATCCAAATCTCATCATGGTACAGTCATGCGATCAGGCTGCAGCTGGATCTGTGTCACTTCCCATGGCGTTAAAACCACGACGGATGTGCTCAAAGGGTTTTCTACTGTACCCGTCTAAGCATTATGTCAAGAAAAAAGAGTTGTTGAATAGAGAAATTTGGTTACATCAACATATTTATGATTTATTCTGGAATGCAGGTTTGAACAGCACAGTAACATGCTTCGGTTTTTTGTTCCCTCATGTTTCCCACCTTACCAAATGAACCTCGGTCCGAATTTTGGGGGCTTTTATTCACAACTTACATTCAGTTACATACAGAGATTCACAATTAACGCTCTCAGTTAGCGTCTATATAGATTGCAGATTGCAGGAACAACAGTGGCCTCAACATGGGTATATTCACCGTAACATTAAAAGAAAAGTGTGACATCTTGTGAGTTACGCATACTTGATTTCACCAAGAGAAACTGAACTTTTCAGTAAATACGAGGCTCCAGACAGTTAGCTTAGCTTAGCACAAAGAGGTGGTGTGGCAGTGATCGTACCAAACATCTGTCAATCAAATTCTTATTAAAGTACAAAAACAAAATAATTAAAAAAGGCAGCCATTGTTATTCTTTGCTCTGCCTTTAATGAAGAAATACTCTTCAGTTTTGATAAATCTGATGCTATTGCTGCATCGGCGCTAACCAGTTTATTCTTGTTTAGAGGGACGAGTCGTCTTTCCGTATTGTCACACACACCTAAGTCGACCCAGTGATTATCATTAGCTCCACACATCATTGCGATTTGATCTGGATGCATCACAATAATCTGTTCAGGTTAAATGACAACCACAAACCACGAATTCTTGTTTTTTACAGTTAGGTTTTTGTATGATTCAAAGAGAAATGTCATTACAAGTTTTTGGGGGAGTTTTGAAGGTTCTGATTGTATAACCTTTCAACAAATTCCCGCCAGTATACTTCCGCAAAAGTAATTGTATAATAGCTTTAAAAAACTCCTTCTCACAAACAACCTGGATCAGGTGGCTGTGTTTAACATTTCTGTAGGTTTCCAAATGAACATTCACACCCATCTCACACTGTGATTGGTCAGCTGAGCAAACATGAGAAAGGTTTTAACTTTTTTTCGCATTGGTTACAGAACATTTTGAATAATTGTACATATATTCAAGTGACTGCAATTCTATGAATTATTGATACAAACCAACCCAGTCTCAGCAATACGTGTAATCGCTACGTTGTGGAACGTGGTATTCTGTAAATGAATGGGCTAAAATAAAACGTAGTATTGTCATGATTTTGGGGAGAAAGCGTGAGAATACCACGTTCCACAAAGTAGCTATTACACGTTTTGCTGTGAGACTGGGTTGCAAAAACACAATTTCCACAATTCTCAGGAAAACACATCTTATCACTCCTTTTCGACTATGACCCCACCCTTATGGTGTAAGCTGTGCGGCTGTTGGCCGCAGCTTTATGGTGAACAGACGGATATGAGAGAGTTTCAATGTTCTCATCCAACTCTCTGCAAGAAAGCAAACAAGTGTATGCAGCGAACTGTGGATGCCAGATGTAAGTGTGACGGAACAGGCTGTGGGGGAAGCCTCAGCTCATTAGCAGGACATGATGAGGCTTTGCCGTGAGCTCTGGCTCTGGGAAAATCTCAAAGCTAAATCTCACTATCAATATGCCGTGTGTGTTAAGGGACTGTTACCAACAACTTGACACCTCCTCCCTTAACAGGAGCAGGAGAATGTGCAAGTCAAACCTACGGCAATGTGACACTTTCACGCTTTACCACAAGCAGAAGGGCATCAACGCAAAAATACAACACACTGGATTATGTTGTCTGTATTATCAGCCGCAATCAACATATTCATGACTTTTCTAATTTGAAAATCCATCTCACAGTGAAGGCGAGAGGCTGCAGCAAGTGCAAACACTTTGATTTACAGTCTACATTCGGAGATCATTTCAGTCGATTTAGGACCGGTGGCTGAAATGGTCATCTTGTTTCAGTGTAACAACTGATAGGAGCAGCTCAATCCTTGTGAGCACACCTTTGTGAGTCCGCAGCGAATGCATGTGAAATGTGAATCTGGTGTTGTAGTCACGTTTACACACACTGTACGTGGCACAGAATAATGATTACACTAGTGTCTGAGGTAAATGTTAACTGGGAATATATACAATACCTTTTTTTTATTTTTACACAATTTCTCTATTTATTAACTGTGATTGTGTAATTACATGTTTATGCACTGAACAGCATTGAGATGACAAATTACGCTGCATGGGGGTGTTAGATGAAGAAAGGAGACTTGGTTATAGAGAGAGAATATATAAATGTGAATATCCTGTCAGTCAGGGTATATGAGGAAGCCGGAGAAGGTGCTGTATTTGTTGGTGTTTCCGCCATGGACTTTGCCCCCGTCCAGCTGTACGCACACTTCATCCCCGACATCCAGGTGGAGGATGACGCTGTTGGAGGCATAGTCGTAGTTCTGATCTGCATCTTGAGCAATTGCACTGGCCCTCACCTGAAACAGAATAAAAAAAGATGTTAATGGGCTGCAAAGATGGAAAGAAAGGGAAATACCATAACATGAAAACAAGCCACCGTCGTTATAGATATTGGACATACGGATGCTGATTTTTTGCTAAGATGGCGATAGCATCTATGTTTTTTTTTAGTTCATACCTCAAATAAACTAAGCCATTTAACTCCACTAAAAGAAGGAGTTTTTGTTTGTAATGACAATTCGAGGGAAGATAACACATGCTTCCTACTAAATTCTATACCCTTTATAAAAAATGTTGGTGCTTTAATATTTGACGTAGGTTCTTCTTGACTTTAAGAACATTGTCAATAAAGTACATTTTACTAATACTAAGGACTTTCAAATAGAATCTGATACATAAATACAGTACAACAAAGGCTTTTTCGGATTGCTTTTGTGTGGCCATAGATACACATCAGCATGGGGGGGGGGGGGGGTCTTGACTTTATATGTTCAAAGGGACAAACGCAACTATTATGTAATACACTGGTCCAGCGTTTTTATTTTGCTAAAGGCTGATGATTTATTAGGTTTATCTTCTCCATCATACCCCAGTATTCCAACCCAAACCAGTCTGCTTACGTTATCTGGATGTAACCGGTGCCATTTTATATCCTGTATCATTCTGTCATCTTGATGTAATGTCATCAGTACAGATGCCTTCCTGTCCACTGGGTAGATAGATGAGATGTGCAGTGATCTTTGGCCTAAAACCTCCATCTGAGAGCCCATCCTGTCTTAGCCGCTATCAATTTTTTCCAGAGAGTTGTCGCTCTCACACCTGATCCACCTGTTGCAGGGAAGAGGCTGATAGGGATTGCAGGACGCCATCAGGGCCAATTACAGCAAACACAACGAATGTGCAGACACACACATACCGCCTGATGCTGGCATTTGGACATTGATTTGTTGCAGCTGTACTATAACAACTCTTAATCATTGCCATCTATTAATATTATGTCACTGGTATTCAGCTTTGCAGCGGTGGCATATTTTCATGTTTTAATTTGATGCGCTCAACTTGATAGGAAACCTTTCATCCACATCGAGAAATAACGTTACTAATTATTCATGTTTGTGACTAAAATACACCAGAGCTCTGAAATATTGAACCACAATAACACTACAACAACAGTTATTGTGAGCTTCAAAACACTGGTATTAATGTCAACCCTCCAGGAACTGCAGGTAATCCAAACCAACACACTAAAGATACATTAGCTGGAGAACCTGGAGCCTGACACAATTTTAATAAGGAATTTGATCTGCAGAGTCATTCTTCAGGCAGAATATCCATTGAATAAATCAAAATAAAATACACAACCACAAACATTCATTTAATGAATGCAAATATAATATCCTCACTCCATACTTGTCCGCGGCACTGACTGTTTTGTTGTCTCCAACCATAATAATGCCATAAACCTTCCTTGACCTTGTTGTCATCACTTACACAAATCAAATAAGACTAAACTATCCATCTCTCCCCATAACAAATCATATCATACTTTTTTTCCAACTCTTTCATTTATTCCACTCAAAGTATTTCTCCATGAAACCATTTCTTCAATGAAGCAAAGGTGAACATTTTTTACTCCTCCTCGAGACAGAAACTAATCAATACATTTCCTTTGTATTAATTCAACTCACATCACGCCATTAATTGTTGTCTCTCCCTACGCCTCACGCCCCTTTCCATCACCCCTCTCCCATTCGCTACCCCAACGCTATCCCTTCATTCTGGACCCATCTATCCATCTTTTTGTGTCTTTACACTCCAATTAGATGCAGGTCACGCACACGTTTTCTCACCCCCGCCATGACAGTGTTGGCGGGAGCAGCGACTAAGTGTGTCCCTGTCCGGTCTAAATCAGATTGATTAACGGCGTGCGGCTGTGGCAGGTCTCCTGAGGACCCCCCCTCCCCCGCCTCGGCGGTCTTCCCCTCCTCCCCTCGCAGTATCCCTTAGCGGTCTCTACCTCCAGATGTGTCAGGGCTGGCTCTACACGCCTGCCGGGGAGGGTAATTGGTAGTCGGATAGCCATAGCAGCTCCCTGCCTAATAGGTCCGACTCCTCAATAACTCCATACAATCACAATAAATGGGGGCGCAGGATAGGCTACAGTGGTCAAATGGGCCCATGAAAAACTAGCAGGAGGTCAGGATAAGTCACACACAGGTACACGCACAAGCATACACACACGTAAACGTACACACACACACACACACACACAGACACACTTCATTCTTCTCTCTATCTCTCTCGATAAGAATAGCTCTGTTTGTTTTTCATGAATCTCAAGTGAATACCTGAGAAAAAACAGGCGGCGTATGAGACATTTTGTTATTTTATACTGTTGGACTGTTTTGCTCTGAGGGGACTGAACAGGTCCCCTGAGGAGATCTAATAGGGTTTAGAAGAAATATAACAGTAAAGGGATTCTGACATCTTGTACGTCCAACATCTGTCTACATGGTTGAGTGGAAGGATTCCCCAGGCAGTATTTTGAGCAGATATGCTGCCAGGCTGTTGTAACTTGCTATGACTACAGTCTACGATTACAATTAAAACTGGTAGACGTGTCTGTGTGAATGTGCAACATTATTACAATCCCTCCTAATAAAATATGTGATTGAACTACATATGATTCCTTTGTATGTGATTAAACCCAATGCAGCACAGGAATGCTGGCTTCTGCTGGTATCATCTATGCTAAAGAGTCATATGTGAGTTGCGGCAGTGACATTCACACCACCTCACTGATATTACTTTTAAATATGAACATCAGCTAATTATACTTGCCTGACAAAAGGCCACAATGTTATTTATGGCTTTTTATGGTTGACATCCTTATGAGACACGTAGGTTAACTTAGACTCAATTCCACTAAACAATGGAGAGGCTGACATTTAATGTGCTATGTTCATGATTAATTCATGGCTGCATTTTCCTCAATATATGAGCCCAGTGGACAAGTTTACACATTTTACCATCATAGTTTGAAGACTTCCAAATTTGAAATATTATCACAGTCAACATCAATATCATTGCCCCAAATGAATATGAATTGATTGTGAACAGTCACTTGATTTATACTTAGTCAAACAAACGAAAAAACATGGTTAAACTATTTGTTTATACCAACAATTCACAAAACAATAAATAATTAATATAGGTAAAGAGTGTTGGATAATCAGTGATGGAAATAAATAAGCACATTAACTCGAGTACCATTCTGGTACTTGAGATAAAATAACTTTTTCCAATATTTGTATACTTGATAAAGACCAAACTACTCACAGTAAAAAAAAAAAAAACTTGCACATATTGTGTTTTTCAGTACGAAACTCTAACAATTATGAGCAATGGACCGTTCACAGGAAACATTTTTCTCTGCTAATTGTGGTGTAGACAAACTGCTCTTACATCTTTAAAACATTTGAAGAAACCAATTGCCTTGCAAACAAAAAGGTAAATCTACAATCCATTATGTTAAAGATGTTTATATACTGTACAAAACATCTGTACATGTAATATTTGTCAACTGCTATTTCTTACTTTTTTATATAGGAGTTTTTTATTAAGTATCTAAATACTTCTTTGTTTTCTTCAACTGAGCCTGAGCTGGTGAAATTGCAGAGCTTGACACTAAAACCACCACAGCACACATCTGCAAGTTCAGCTGTCAGTAAAAATCACAGTGAAACCCTATTGTATTAAAGTGCACAGGAGGCACCGGGGCTTTGGAAACAAGAGGGAAAGGCAAATCAGGATTATCGTCAACAGTGGCGGAGATTGATAGCGACAAGGGAGTGAATTTCTGTCGGTTGGCTCAATGCTGTTCTGACTTGATCTGCTGCTGTTGGGGAGAAGGGAGACCCGCGGGACAATAGAAAAGATTACACTGCCCCCACTTTTCATTAGAGGGCAACATTAAATGGGGAGAGAGCGAGACTAAGTGGAAGTGGAAGAGCGAAAGCGAGTGTGAAAGAGAGAGCGCGAGAGAAAAGAATTGAGAGCGTAAAAATAACTCAACACTAAAGCTCAACATGATCAACATTGTTTTTGATGTGATTTTCTGATTTGTGTGACACATTTAAGGGCTGACATATGTATTTCAAATGTATGTAGCCTAAGACTTTAATCATTTTTATGTCTATTGACCCAGTGTGTAGGCCATGTCTTACGGGGTAGGGAGAAAATAAAGATACATAGTGAAAATAGTGAATGAAAGCAGAAGTTTGGACGCTAAGACGGGCGAGCAGCTGCAGGCACATTTTTCACAGCAGGCTACGGATTCACAGGAGCTCCAAGTATATGGGGGGCTTTAAGTGATGGAGAGGGAGTATGTCGGATAAAAAAATTGGTCAAGCTTGCCTGCTTTAAAACAGGGGGAGGGGCTGTCTATTTCTTTTGGTTTTGTTTTGTTTTGCAGTGGTGCCTTGGTCCTTTGCTAATAAAACTGACAAGATTCATTCACTGCGATGTACAGACCTCTCAGAGCGGAGCGAGGCGATTGAGACGGGGTCTCTTAAACTTACCTGAGGGACCTCTAAGGGTGAACCGGGAGATAGAAGAAGGGAAATTGAAATGGCCCTTTTGTAAAAAGCCGCCATGTTCTCTCGGCCCCCGCCCCTGTGTACCGGCCAGAGGTATCCTGTTTCTATTATGCAGGGTGACATTTAACCCTTCTGCTGCACTGCAGACTCACACTAATTGGCATACTAACTGTTAATATTTTGCCATGACACTCAAGACCCAAGGTGTCAAGATGTTGATTAAAAAGTCTGTAATTGGCTCTAGACTGAAACCTTTGAGGGCAGAGGGGATGCCTTAATTGGATATACGTAGATAGATAGATATATACTGTATTAATCCTAAAGGAGGCATTTGTGAAATGAATATGAATGGGTTATGTAGATAATCTACCTGCAGAGCACCACCAGTTAAATTATAGTATCCCTCTACAATATATTGTTTACTGTCTCTCATTAACTGTGTTTGCTTTAAAAGGGAGATGTGCAGCGGGACTCAGACAGAAGGCAATTTAAAACGTGTTCACGGAGCAGAAGCTAGTATCTCTTTCAAAATGAATATATATATATATGAAAAATAGTATTTGATATCCTTAAAAATGGTAATACATGATGCATTTCATCTTTGTTCGTGTAAACTGTGCTGTCTGTAAAAGAAAAAAAATCCTGCTTCCCTGATGAGGAGGAAATAATGGTATGATGGGGAGGAGAAGGGAAAACACAACAAAGACACCTACAACACACAGTAACAACCAGCCAAGTTGTTTTAGCCGTGGAATATAATGGCCCCAGCCATTACAACAGAAACATATAGTCAAATAATGGCTGTGTGCAAGAAAATGCAAGGAAACAAGCTGTAGGCTACATGAGAGGATCCATTCTGTTTACTCTTAAATAAATGCTATTAAAAAGAGTGGGCTATTATCCTTTGACGCAAAATGTTCCCCATTATAATTGTGTCGGACATTAAAGCAATACACCCCACAGAAAAAATGTCTTGATTATTAATTATTCTACACACTACCGTTTAAAAAGAGGAAGAAGAAAAAAATAACTGTTACATGAGGCCCAAATTGGCACCTTGTCAAACACACTAATCAGCAGCATCACAAAAGCCACCTCACACCTTCCTACTAAGAGCAGCTCATTTCCTCTAATAGAGCCCAAGCTTGTCAATTATCTAATTAACTTCTGCTTATTTTTTGATTTACTTTACACACATAACACTATATGTTTCTGCATTATCTGTGCTCCTTGTTGCTTGAGAGCCAGCCTAAAAGTAGCTGATTGTCTGCTAAAATGAGACATTGACCTTCACTTCTGTTATTCTAGCGTTGGACGCCTTTAACGTACCTTTATTTCTCTTACGTTTACGCCTCACGTGGTTACGGATGAGCCTCAGTGGCGGGCTTTCGACATCACTTGCCTCCTCCAGTAATTAAGACCTGACCTAATCCCGCTGTCACATAATGATTTCATTCGTTTGTCAATAGCAGATGAAATGCTCAAATGCTACGACCACTATAAGGTCTTCAAAACTAAATTGTGTGTGTTTGCAGGCAAAACAGACCAACCAACTGACCAGCCCAGTTGCTGGTCCCATTTTGGACCAGGTATCAATATTCATACTCCTTGCTCATCGCTGTAAAGGGCAGAGTACATATTGCTGGTGAATTATATATCCATTGAAAAGGTCATCTACTTCAACACCAATCTTTTGATGAGTTATGGGACACGATGACTGAAAAGGATTCCTTGCATTGAGTGATTCATCTCTTGAAACGGTGCAAATTTGCACATCTGCGCAGCATTTTGTTAGCCAACAGCTAGCAACAAAAGTCAGATTTGTCTAGATGTTTATCACATCTCCTCAACATCTCCTTCACCAGAGGACAGAGGACACTCTTATGTTACCTATTCTCTCATCCTCTTGTGTCAACTCTCCTTGATGAATATCCATCAGTATCTCTGTTAGCCCACTTGTCTTCTTGCTGTCATACCGCTGATCATTTCGCAGCGTGTCTTTTGTTAGCTTTGACATTGATTAACACAAAGCATATCAATCTGAAAAAGGAAAAAAACAAAGCCGATTTAAATGTGTTATTTAGCTGTGTTGAACAGTAACGTGAAAATCCAGTAAAAAGCAGTCTTAAGGATTACAATTTGAAATTCAGGCGGTCACCAAAAGCTAACGTTAAGCAAGCGGTTCATGGTGAATATAAAACACAAAAACACAAGACAGCTTCTACAAAAATATACAGAAAATGGGATGTGGGTCTGGAGACTTTTGCAGATGTTTAAAGAAAAACTTTAAAGGAGCTTTGCTACGGTACCGAAGTATAACTCAATGAGTAATGTAACTAATTGCACACTGCAGTTGAGTAGCCTTCTTAACAGCAAATTGTTCAAAATGTCCATATCTCTCAATCAATAAACTTTATCAGTGTTATTCTCAAGGTTTTCCTCAATAGCTGTTTCACAAGAGCACAGAAAATACATCAGGTGCAATGAAACTGTGAGGCCTCGATCAGCACTGAAGTGAGTTAATAATTTAGTTGATGGAAAAGATAATTAATGAGGAAGGAGTCAATAGCCAGTGTGAACGGTAAAAGTGTGTGCGTGTGTGTTTTGGTGTAGAAGGAGGGCACAGGTGGAGGGGAGAAGATCTCATCTAAAAGCTATGAAAGATTTATCAGCAAGTGAAGACAGGAATGACAATGTCTGTGAAGGCACGCAACAAACCAGGTCCTTCAATTATATCTGGCATTTAACGGTCTGTCCTCTTTACCCTACACTTTATGCCCATCCCTTCAAATCAATAAAATAGGGAATAACTGTTTATATGAACTTGATCAGGAACAAATAACACCTATATCATCATTTAATCAAGGCTATTCGCCGATTCAGTATGTCATTTAATCGCAGATATACAGAATATAAAATACTCCAGTTGTATCTAGTGAGCCCACGCGGTCAAGCAACGGGCTATTCTTGTTTGATCCAGATTTGAACAATTTAAGCGAAAATGGAAATCATTGAAAAGTAAAAAAGCGCTTTCCCAGTTTTCTCATGAACCACTGCATTAAGTTAAGAACATCTGTGTGATTTCCTGCAGATATGCAATCCACTGGTAATATCATGGCCCATGTCAGCAGTTGAAGCTGCAGTAAACCACTGCAACAGCCATGATGTTGCAATTTTGAATCACAACAAATGGTGGCACAGCCAAATACGGACATCTGCATGTTCCCGTGGCTGCAACAACGGCTACTGAGATGCAGTGTGAACTTCCATGTGAAGATAAGACCAGGTGGACGTTGCCACGTGTCTGACTGCAGCTTTCCATACAGAAACACTTGGGTAACGAGAGCGAGTGACAAAGAACAGTCTGCATTCAATAATTAAAGAAAATCCCCAAAATGGTTTTACACATACAGGATCTAGAGTTCTCTAAAGGTAAAGACTTATTCCACCCAAATGCAATGTCCAGTGTGCACACTGTGGTCCTTTAGAAGACTCTTAACTTATACACGTTTAACCCAAATTTTTGAATGCACACATTAGCATAATAATAATAATGAACAACTTAATGGTGAATATTTTATGTTTAGTTTTGAATGTTTCCACACAAACTGCCCAACTGTCCACAGCTGAGTTCTTACTGGCCCAATAACTGTATCTAAAGTCCTTTGAGCAAACAGCAGCCCATCAGGTTGATGGTCAAATTGCTGTGCGTTCTTGTACTTTGTAAATAATGTGAGAAAAGACTGTTGTACGTTGAAACACTGACTCGTAACAATGCAAAGCATGTTCTTTCTTCTCTGGTATAATCCCCGGGACGCCACTCCTCTGATCTGCAGCACACATGTCAGAATCAGGGCTCCTCAACAGAGTGAGGACTCAGCACTTCAAGCTCGTCACGGATCTCCAGATGGAAGCGCTCAAGGCTTTGTGCCAGGCATTTGTACTTGTTTATTTATTAGTGCTAAAGTCAGGGTTCCTCAGAGGACAGTAGCCAGCTGTTGCATTTTGGCTTAGTTCCACTGAGACATTGTCATACTCTTGATCGCTTGGCTGTCTCTCTCTCTCTCTCTCTCTCTCTCTCTCTCTCTCTCTCTCTCTCTCTCTCTCTCTCTCTCTCTCACTCTGCATGCAAGTTGATTACAGTTTTTCTTTTACATGTTAAGTTGTTCAAACAATTTCAAGTATGGAATATTTTCTGATTAAATTGCAATATTAGACAGACGGTTGATTGACATGAGTCAATGGAATTAATCTAAATTATAACATACTTTTTATATACTGGAGACTTTTCTTTAGACTTTGGTTTCCTGAAAGTTCCAAATGATGATGTTGATCCTGTTTTGGAAGTATCAGTAATGAGGTCTGAACTACAATTTAATATAATTCACTGCTTGTGTAGTCCCTGCATCATAGAATGGTTGCTGTTTTTGGGTCCAATGCTGTTGGTGGTAGAGGGAGATATTCAATCACTTAAAGGTTTTCCCTCATTTTGTTACTCAACATCTGCATACTGAGAGTTTGTCTTACGGTGGAACTTTCGAATCACAATATAAGAGGGACACATACAAACTCAGAGACACACTCACCTGTCCGTTCTTCTTCAGGTCAGCCCACATGCTCGTCCCATCACCTCCTCTCATCAGGACGTGGTAGGTGAAGTAGTATATGCCAGGCAGAGGGCAGGTGAACTTGCCGGTGCTCGGTTCGTAGTAGTTCCCTACGTTGGTCACCACGTCATCAAACTTAAGTATTTCACTCCCTTCGTGTTGTTTCCGAAGGCCTGCGTAGAAGGCGATTTTGGGACTGTAGAACGATGGGCCGTATCCACCGGGTCCAGGCCCGGGTGGACCGGGCGGACCGGGCTTGCCGGGCTCTCCGGAGGGCCCTTTGGGCCCTGGAGGACCGGGAAGTCCAGGGCTCCCTCTGAACCCCTGTTTTCCCCTGCGGTTTGAGAAGTCTGGGGGCTGAGGGGAGACGGCTGTCAGCTCTCCCTGTGGGGGGGTGAAAGTGTCGCACACCATCTTGCAGCTCCCAAGCATCTCAAAGTGCGTGCCCCCTCCTCCGGACCCTCCCCCCTTGGTGCTGTGAACCAATAGGGGAATGGCCACTAGCAGGACCAGGACCATGGCCACGCCAACTCCAGCGCCGATGACACGTTTCTTGCGGCTGAGCCGGGAGGCGGCCAGCGTGAGGAAGTCCTCCTCCCCCTTCGCTGGAATGGTTGTGCCGGCCAGGCTGAAGGCTAAAGATACTAACTACTGGGTTGAAAAGGTGGAGGAGGGACGGGTGTGACTGTCCAAGGTAGAGATAGGAAACAGGGGGAGCTGGATAGGCAAGTCTCAGAAGGGAGAAAATCAGAAGTCGGGGGGAGACTGACAAATAGGATTTTCCATTTCCCGGTATTCAAACATTAGTTTTGTATCCTGTTATTTTGCAGTTTCTTCTGGTTCGCAGTGTCAGAGGGCTGTCAACCTATATAAAGGTTATACATTATTTTATGACACAAAAATAACATCAATATTGACTTTCTACCTAAAAATTCAGCATCCCCATTGAGATGTGGATTTTAGGCAACTGCTTTTTTTATCAAGGTCTTGTGGAGGCTCTGTTGAGAAGCTTTCAGGTGATCAGGCTGAGCTGTCAAGTGGGGTCTACAGTATTCCCACTGGAGTTCATCTCACCCACCACATGCAGGGAAGGGTGCTTTACCTTGTCGAGGAATGAGAAGAGAAGGTCGAGGAATTTGCTAAATCACTGCTCTTTTTTACTGTTCTGTTGACCCTGGATTAGATTTATCTCAGCAGTCTACTTCTCCATTAAAAGAGGCTACAGAATTGTTACAGGTCATGAAAATGTTGAGTAAATTGCCCACAAAATTGCATTGAATGTGGAGACTTGTTTAAAAGGCAGCTTGGATGAAGCAGAGAACATTTTATCCCAGCATCACAGGAGACCCCGAATCTACAATGGAAAGAAGACACACACACACAGAAACACATTAACACATTGATATAATTAAACAAGCTCTAATCAATTCAAACCCTAAAACAAAGGTATTTGCAAAAATAAAAAGTATCAATTTAACTTAAAATGTAAGAGAAATTGAACAAATAAAGCAAATTATTTTGTAACTGATTAAAATCTATTATATATTAATAGATATATAATAATAAAAATATTCTGATTAGAAATTCTTCCAAATAAAATACTGAATACAGCCAAATAATGACGTTACAATCAGTATTTTGTTTAAACATATTTTTCCTTATTGATAAAAAATTAAAAATAAAGAGAGGAAAACATCAGTGATATCACAACCAAAAGATTGGATCTGTAATGTGATGGATCACGTGTAATGTAATGTAATGGATCACAGCTGCTATTGTTACAGGCCTGCATTCATTATGGTCAACAAACCAAACTTTAACTGGAAACATATTCAAATGTAAACTATATATGAAATTAACCCTAACCGTATGAAAATGAAAAGTGCAATATTGCACTTTTCATTTTCAAAAGTCCGTTTAATTTGATAAGGCAGTCAATTTAATCAGAGCAAGGGTAAATATCACCAGAAAACTTTGATAAAACTCAAATCAGCTCACCTCTTTCTTTCTTTCTTTTCCACGCGGCTCTCAGTGTTTTTCCGTGATTGCGGGCTCAGATGGAAACGCCGCCGGAAAACTGTTCCCGGACACCGCGACGAAAACCTTCCGACAGGGAGCGCTTGCGATGTCTTATCGGGTGAAGTTGCGGCGCGCTGCAAACTCAAAGTCACACTAATATTTAAACTCGCATCATCTCAGCAGGACTCCTGCATGGTGCACGTCCAAAATGCTCAAAGCGGCGATCTCAGGCAATCTAAGCAGACACGGAGTGAATACATAGAAATACAAAAAAAGTATTAATGATCAGCTCCAATGACACGTAGCGCTCTTTAAAATAAAATCACACGTTACTTTTACAGAGTTTCGCCTCCAGTAATCCCGCTGCAGTGCGACTTAATTTGCAGAGCAACAGTTCACTCACTTGTTGTGTTTTACGTCCTTCGTCTCGTCTCTCAGCATCTGGCTACTGGCGCTCCCCCGCCCTCCCTCCGTAACACACACACACACACACGCACACACACACACACACGCACACACACATCCTCCCACCCTCCCATCCTGCATGTGACCTTTTCACATATCAAAATGACAACATCTGTTTAATATTTTAATCAATCCTTGTCGTTGAAGACTTTTTTTCACCACAGATAGAATATTATTATAATAATTAAATATGGTCTCAGTGTTTGACATTACACATTTATATTACTGTGATACACATGGACCATTTTTAATTGTTTTTTTCTTCTTTTTAAAAAAATATTTCCATATGTTGTGTGTTTGGATCGCCTTCTCCATCCAGCATGAGGGCGATGATCTTGTCAGCACATCGCACATACTGTATTCTATAAGATGTGGAGTTTCTTGTGGAGAAATTTCTAGCTGAACCGCTGGTGTTGAAAGACTGAAGTGTGACTACGTAGGCCACACACGTGAGACTGACGAAGGATGTTGAAGTGAAAAGGATAAGGTGAAAGGAGGAGAGTGGTGTTCTCAGGTTTGTTGTCAATGTCTGTGTTTCTGCAGCTTTCAGACCTCGTTAGAGATGAAAGACGTATCGCTGCTGACACCCCCTCTCCCTCTCCTCCTCCTCCTCCTCCTCCTCCATCTTCTCGTGATCTTCTACTCTTCCTTTCAATCTCTCAGAATCCATTAGTACCATTCATTAGCAATTCATTCTAAAATTTGTCATTGTTTTTCAGGTTTTGTTGTGTTAATGTTGGTTTTAGAGCAGGTGTTAAATATTTTGTTATGTGTTTTTTTGGACCACACCTGACATTTTCAACGATTCTTTCTTGAAATACAGAAAGTTCCTATACTCAAATTCTATTAACACATAATGATATAGGGGCCCTTAATCACAGGTAGGGAAACCAATTAAGGTAGAAGCACAAGTGCTTCATGTACTGTCAGTCATTCATCTCCAAACTTTACTGAGCAGGAGCGTGAAACATATATTGAATATGGATCAATAGATCACTCCCCAGAATGCAGGCTCTCAGCCGACTGAGCCCTCAGGCAGATGCCAAGCCGCTGGTAACATTTGCATTTGGAGAAAGAAAGAAAATAACTATTACTTGTAAGAAAGCAGGAAGCTGTGTGGGTTCCACAGTTGACAAAATTGGCAAATCACGTACAGAGGCAAAACAATTGATTCATATGTGCTTTGACGGTACACTCTGCTTACTCACATCCACTGCAGGCCTGGTTGTGCTTTTTATGTGCTTTTATGGCATGTGTGTGAGTGCCCATATGCATACATATGTGCACACATACACATTTCATTTACATATGAGCTCTGACACATGGGGTGGCACACTGAGAGGCTCCCTGCATTTAAATTATTATTGCCAAGAAGGGAGGACAATTTAGAGAGAATGAGGTTTTAAGAGCTCTATGAAATATTAACTAAGCCGATGAATATATCAGCTGAAGCGATAATGTCCGTCTCTGACTCTCTATTTCCTCGTGATATACGATATCATGTTCTTGTCTTTAATATATCATCCTATTCTCTGTTTAATTAGAGCTCAGGTTTACAGGAAGAAAGAGTTTTGATCTTTTTATTTGATTTGTAAAATACTGAATTTTATCCCAAAAAATATAGCTTCATAGTGGGTTATCATCCGTAATCTCTTTCTATGTACTTGACTTTGATATCTCTTTTCTGACCTTCAGCAGCTGTAGAGATTTTAATCATATAAAGGCTTTCTGGCAACCACAGATGGAAGACCAGAGGGCTACAGGGTTGAGGCTCAGTTGGGACATGGCTGCTTTTGTTAACACAAAGGTCAGCTAACTCAACTTTGTCAATAAGCTGGAGAAAAAAAGAAGTGAAATGCTTAAGAGAGGCCATTTATTTTTCTAGGTCAAGTCAAGTACATTTTATTTATGCATCCCAAAATCTCAAGTTGAACGTTAACCATGAATACCTGATTAATAGGTATTGCAAACTATTTATTGTACTTCTGATGAGAACCTACGATACCGGGATCAGTGGAAAAAAGTTAAAAAAGTAAAATATTGATCTGTCTGTGTATACAAATACTCATGGGAATGTATTATGAAAACATTGATTTGTATAAATTAAAACCAGGTCAACAACAGGTTGGTGAATAATTTTGATCATTCAGTTCTTTATCACGATTGGGCAATTTTTTTAAACCTAATAAATCTTGAAATTGTCTTCTGTTTCATAACAGCGGCCCTGGAGCTGGTGAGCGTTACGTGTCTTGTTGAAACTTCCCAACATGGTATTTTGAACTCAGGTCCCCGCAGGCCAATAGCTTTCTGTGTTATTGGATTACTGGTCATTAAAACCGGTTTCACTTGTTGAAAAAAGTAATTCGAACTCAGGTTTTCCAGACAGCAGCATGATAACAAAGACAAATGTGACTTAGGAAATTCCCTCTCTTTGCTTAGAACAATCAGTAAAACCAATCAGGACAGGAGCAGAGAGTCAGCGTGTGATCGAAGAGGTTACCATGGTATTAACAAGCTCATTCGAGGTGGAGGTGCTAGTGAGACAAAAACACAAGCCAAGTAAGAGGCCGTGGAAAGGGCTCAACCTGACCTGTAATCTCACAGGTGAGAGAGAGATCAGCAGCGAGAGAGCAGGAGCCTGAGAATGGAGAGGCAGCAGGGTAATGGAAACGTAAGGGTCATAGCATCACATTGAACACAGTAGGACACGCCATTGTTTAGTGCATCTACACAGTGTAATCTGATTTAACACTTTTATTATCATTTTCAATGTTATTTAATTCATTCATATCCACCCGCCACTAGAGGAATTGAATGCTCTTGGTTTTGAAGATTCAACTATGAACATTTCCTCAGTAAGATAATATATTTTTTTAAATCTTCACCTCCCTAAAGGGCCACTTTACAGTTTAGTTTAAGGTTAAGACCATAATCATCATTGGGTCAGAGTTAAATGTTGAAGATAGTTAAGCCCTCTGGATGAAACTGTGGACATTCCTCGGAAGAGAAGGAAAAGTGTGGAGGAGCACGACCCCCCCCCTCGTTTACGTCTACCTCTATGTGCGGATCTGATTATAGTCCTTGATTGCGAGTGACAGCGTGCAGATTGAGTTGAGCAGCCTCTCTAATTCTCTCTATTAATGAGTTGCGCTCCACACTGCTGCCCCGGACCACATCTATTAATCACAATTTGTCACCTGTCTTGTGCTCTGCACACTCACATTCCCCTCTCCCCTTTTCTCCTCCCGCCTCCCCTCCAACCACCGTCCCTGCTCTGCCTGTCCTTTTCCTCCCAGCTGCTGATTCCATCTCATCCCTTCTCTCCTCACTCACTTCTCCACAGACTCTCGGCACAACACTCGTCTCGGAATCCGCTGTCTCTCTGTGTGTTGTTCTGTGCTCTGCACCTGTTCCCTTTCCTGACGTTTTTATTTGCATCTCCATCTTCGGCTCTTGTACTCCTTTTTAGCCCCCCCACCCCAACACCCCTCCTCTCGCATCTTGCTCTCCCTCCACGGCATGGTCGAGCATACTGAGTGGGTTTTCCTCCTGAAAATCCACATTTTAATTCTGCCAGCACTCCAAGGTTAAGTAAGCCCTCTCACATCGGTAAATAATGATTTATCACAGCAATTCATATCCGTATTGGGGCTTTGTAATTAGATATTTTGCCATAGACATATGGCTGTTGAACAATGTTAAAACAAATGCAGAAAAGCATCCTTAAAAGCCAGCTCGTCTTTCTGAGCCATCACTAATGTTTGGGACTGAACTATCAAACGCTTGTAGTTTTAATGGTGCTAGATTCAAAAGCATGACAAATAAAACGGTCTCTATTACAGCTACAGTGAGGTATGTTAGGAAGTTGAAGGAAATCTTGTGTGGCCGGAAAGAGAGACGGACTAAGGAGTACCATGTACAGTTCATTACTCATGGATCAAAAGTACCTCCTGCATTCCTGCTGAGCAACTGTGTCAGAAATCCTCAGCCCCACACAGAACAGTAATTAAAGCTCTTGTCTGTCCCCAAAACCTGCTGCTCCCAGCAGGAAGTCTGTGATCTGAATCTCTCCAACATTGGAAGCACAGAGCGAGACCGCACTGGATGAACAAGACACTCACACAGGTCCGGAGCAGATTTTAGACCAAATTGTAGAAATCATGTTTTTTGAATCTATGAAATTTTTATAGAAACAAAAGTCAGTCTGACAACTTAAATAGCCAAGTTGTTCCCATGCAGGCTCCAGGGTAAAACGATTGGGATTTCAATTTCCTGATAAGGAAACCTCCCCAGGCGTCATTACTGAAACTCCCCAAGTTGGACACCGTATCTTACCTCAATTTAATATGACGCATAGGATTTTTTGGTGTTACTGAAACGTGTTTTGTAAATGCAACTTGGGAAAATATATAATTTAATGGACATGCTACAACAGGGAAAAATGAGACTCATTACTGTAAAGGTGTTACAGTTCATATTATTGTTTAGACAATAATCCCAAAAAGATTTGAAGAAACGCAAAAAATTAAACTAATTTCTTACACTGCACAGCAAAACAAGTCTCTAGTATAAATTTACCCATAGCTGTGAATTTGTATAAAAGTATCTTTTAGCCATTACACAGTTCAGTGTGAGGCTGCACTCAGGACTCTGTACCTGAGAGCAGCCTCACAGAGCCGCATGACAGAAGAACCCTTAGTTCATGGACATTTACAGGGTCACATCCGTTTACAGAACATTGACTTACCCCATCATTTCAGGAAAGTGAACACCCAACCTTGCACTGTATTACCCCCTGCTACAGTACATAGTTGTAGATGGATTTGTAATAAGATGTCCCGAGGTGATATACTGGAATTTAATCTGATATTCATTTGCGAGAACCTGTCAGGAGATGCAGCTTTCTGTCACCGGAGATAGCGGCTGTGAAAA